GAATACATACAACATGGACGTGTGGGAAGTCTCCCCATTGACGGAACAAGGCAAGCACGTCCTAAAATTTGTTCACCATCCACCGAATCCTCGGTCCAAGCGCCCAGGGGGAATCCGGTTTCCGTTCCTGGGATCACTGGCGAGCGGCAAAGGGTCGTGCAAAAAAGACCCTAGAACCCCAAACCCTAAAACCCTGAACCGTGCCTGCGAGAGCGAGCGTGCGAGTCGAAACCCTGAACCCCATGCCCTGGGAAACCGACTTCCGAAGCCACAGCCTTCACGACAGGCTGGGCGGAAGAGCGCGATTCGAGGTGCTCTGGTCTGTAGATGTGTTCTTCTAGGTTCTGGATTCATGAGAAGATCAAATGTGCATTCAACAATCCAGATGTATGTACATATTTATATGTTTATACATCTGGCGAAGCGGTAGTTTTCTGAGAGAGAGTTGGCTAGTCTTCACCTCGCAGCTTGGGCAGGGCGAGAGGGAAATGTTTATACATACATATACGTACATACAGTTATTTACATACATAGACATAGACTCGAGTCCGTGAGAGAGAGAGAGAGAGAGACATAGACGTAGACTAATACATACACATACGTATACTGATATTATACATGCATCCATACATACACACGCACACACACACATGGAGACATACACATACAACAACACATGCTTACGCATACATAATCATACATATGTTATACACTATACACACATACACATACATAGACATACATACGCATCACACAGACATGCATACGTACATACATACACACACCGACACACCTACACCCACACATACACATACATATGTATACACATATGTGTGTATATATATATATACACAATCTGGATAGACATGTAATCCACCTGCCTCGTAGGCCAGACCCGGCACCCTCAGTAGCAACTGGCTTGTCTTCTTCAGAGGTCAGTTTAGATCTTCAGTCACTATACTTCCAGCGTTGATGTCGGTTTGCAGCGCCGGCCTTGTGCAGCAGACCCGAGGATCCTGCCACCTCTGCTCGCAGCCAGTAAGGCTCTATAGACCATGAATCGGTTCTTCAACAAACAAGCCAACAAAGTCGAGGGTGACAGTCTTCAAGCCACTTCTTGTCCAAAAGTGTACCTAGAAAAAGGAGGCAGATGAACTGGCGGTGAAATATTCCCGGAGCCCATGTCCAAGTCTGGCAGCTCCTTCAGTAGGAAGGGAGATTTTGCTAGCATGTCTCCATGACTGCAAATGGCCGCCGCTGCTTCCCTCTCTCCAAGGGATGCCACTCCGAAGGATTGGGGCGGTTGACGGCGTGGTTGGACTTTAGGGCCTTTTGGCTTAGGGGTGCGGGCGTGGAAACTGAGAAGCTGCCCCGGAAAGAGACAGATCTCCCCTTCTCGCCCCCAGCCGTGTTCGCAATGCTCCAAGCCTCGCCCCTTTGCCGTGGAGCGGTGCAGGTTGCCGCTGTGGTCTCGCTCAACGGTTACTGATTGCTTGAATCCTAAAACCCAAAGTCCGAAACCCTTAGCCCAAGACCCTTTGTCTTTTGGCCCTGGGTTTGTTGAGAGTAGGACGATCCGAAGGATGCGTGGCTCGGCTGAATTCGGGACGTTGTATACATGGTGAGATGCTACAGCAAGCCATGGCGTCAAGATGGACTTGAATGCGCAGCTATGACCTGCTGTCGGATAATCATTGCCCGGATGGCCGAGGTCACTTCGTGGTGCCAGCGTATCGATGCCCCTGCTAGCCAAGCACCCGGTAGCTGCGGGCGTACCATGCGTTTGCACAGCATCCGAACCATAGCTACTTACATGGACCAGTCAAGGATCCGCACGCCACAGAGAGCGACGAGGTGATACAGAATCCTATGGATCCTTGGGTGCACCGTACTGATCGGATGTGGTGTGGTCCGGCTAGGTTATGTCTGTATCAAGCATGGGGAACAGTACACCGGCTGCGTAGAATCGCCTCTCACAGATCTCAGTGGGAGCGTCATGTTGTCGCATGGTCGACAGGTTCGTCGCAGTATATACGTCAGGATACCATTTCCATTCGATGCCTTGCACGTGCTGTTGTTGTTGCGACAGTTGCTGGCGATTCCTCAATCGCATGATGTCCGTTTGTTCCTTCTCACGTTTGATGCCTAAGCCACATATGGGAGTTTCCGAAAATAGGGGACCCTAATATAGTACCCTAAATAGTAGGATCGTCGCCATAACACATGGCGTGAAGCCGGACGAAAGCCTCCTGACAGCCAGCCAAGTGTAACATCCTTATTCATGCTTCGGTCCTTGGCTGTTTTTCCCTACTTCCTATTCCTTCCTATTACATGTTCTTGCTGTTGCGCATGGTGGCTTGTCACGGTAGTAACGGTAGCAGTGGGACCTCGAAGCCGTGCCTGCGTCAGCGAGTGTGCGTGTCGAAATAGTAGGATCCTTATTCTAAGGACTCCAAAATGAGGTACGCCTAATTTTCAGAAACTCTCATATCTGTCATCATCTGCCATCGACCGAACGCAACATATCAAGGCGCAGTGTCGGAAGCGGCTTCGTGAAAAGAGGCAGGGGTTGTAATCTTGGGAGTTCATATGGGAGTTTCCGGAAATTCGGGAGCAACTTATTTGGGGGTCCTTATAATAAGGATCCTACTACTTAGGGTTCAATCGTAGGGTCCCCTCTTTTCGGAAACCCCCATATCGCATGGACTCACGGGGTTTGGGGCATGGCAGTTTTGTCTGGACCATGACTTTGTGTGCTCCTGGAGGAGCACTTGCCAACAGTATGTGCTCCGGCATCACATGTTGCCCATTTGTTTTCCTCGTTTCGCGCCTGCCAGCAGGAAGCGCATCCAAGCGTCCTTGCAGCACGCAGTTGCAGAGAATGCGCCTTGGCAGCCTCATAGGCTGTAGCATGCCACAGTTACCAATACCAGGCTTCGAGATGACAAGCTAAGCTCAGACACAACCGCGCAGAAACGGTTTTGCAATTCTTGTGCCACCTTGTTGCCTGTAAATCTGTACCGTTGCATGGTAACCACAGAATGCGCACAATCAGCGGCATCATATTCATTGATAAAGCACGCCGGCCAGCCATCACCAGACGATGTCTGTGTGGGGTGCCTGCACTTCCCAAGACTACAAGCGTCTCCCTATAGCTTGGTCCCCTAACCCAGGGCTTTTTACTGAAATCATGAAGCCACTCTTTCTCTCTGGCACGGCAGCCAGGGTGGTAGTTGCTTGGCATCGCCATGAAATCTCTGGCATGTAGTTCTGATATGGAGTTAATTTCAGTTAGTTTAGGATATGGAGTTAATTTCAGTTAGTTTAGGACAAAACCAAACTGAATTAAATTGAACCTGAATTGATTCAAACGAGCTGTGATATGTCAGACTAGTTGAAACGGATTGACATGTTAAGCTGACAGGAACGCGGCCGCCGTGAACGGGAGGCCGGATCCGTCTGTGAATCAAACGCTTGGCCGCACAAACGTTCGTGTATGTAGGGCTCGTAGATCTTTCTATACACGTACTTATCGGTTTGCATAGACGTAGCGTCGCTACCTTTTTATGCATGTATTTCTGTACTTGTTCATATTACCATATGTATATATATATATATATATACACACATACACATACGTATACATATACATATACATATACATAGAGGAAGATGCAGAGATTTGTTATTTACCGTTGTTTTATAGACCATCAGGCGCCCGAGTTGCTTACATGCGAGCATCATTCGCAAGTCATGGAAGTTTGCGAGGCCGCCCATCAGCAGAGGTTGCGGCGTATCGCCGCTGACAATGTATCAGAACAGCATTGGCAGAGGCATGCTGTCTGATGAAAGAAATGCTTCTGAATACAGGCAAGGCAGCTTATGGAGGTGCCACATGAGATGAGAGCAAGGCGCGTTTGCGGCACGCTTTGCTTGGTCTTAAGCCAGCCAAGGCACGGCGTCGCCACGAGGAGGACTGCATGATCTACTGCATGGGATAAAGCAGCATAAAAGACTACAGTCAAGTAGAGCCCGTGCAGATCAGAAATGCAACTGGTAGGGTCAGGAGGAGGATGAGGCGGAGGAGTAGTCAGGAGGATAGGCGGTAGAATTGGGAGTAGGGGAAACAGCAACAGTGAAAAGGCGAGGCAATACATAAAACACGCAAACAACAAGCATTAGAATGGTACAGTTGGTTTCCTCCACCAGCAGCGCTGTAACCATTTGTTACTACTTTTGCTACTGACCATCACGAATGATTTTGCCATGCTTCGTAGGATTTTACGGAGCAACTAGCAGTTGTTATCGCCCCATCACCTCGCAGCCAGTGAGGGCACTATAATACTATACTAGATTATAGTATACACTATTCTGCCATATTATACATATATACTTTATCATGCTATATTATACTACTTCCCGATGCATCTATGGAACTACACGTGCTGAATTATACTGATTATCTATATCTTTCTCTATCTGCATCTGTATTTATATGTCCATGTCTATATCTGCATCTGTATCTGTATCTACATCTGTCTCTATGTTTTTTATATATGTCTACGTACAACTTGTCCGCATCCATGTCCACACGAAGATCCATATCGACATATCTATATTTATATCTAGATCTAGAATATATACAATATCAGGAGCAGCTCCAATGTCCCTTAATTACGGAATATACCTTAAAGTATAGTAGGATCCCAAATATGATTTAAGGTAGATTCCTTAGTTAAGGGATATTGGAGTCTCTGGGTAAACCCTAAACCCTAAACCCTAAACCCCTAGCCATTTTGGCTCAAGGCCTCAGGTAGCCGTGCTGTGCCTCTGGTGTGCTCCCGTCCTTTCCGATTACACGATCCTGTTCCTTGGCAGGGGGGACGGCGCTTCGGGTGCACAAGGACTTCGGCTTGAACGGTCGTGCGGGCCCAGGGCATCTTCTAGGTCACGATTCCGTTTAAGGTCTACGTGTCTTTTGTGCTGGAGGGACTTCGCTGATGACGACGGTGATTGGTCTGCCTGCTCCCGGGGGCGTGCCTGTTCCGGGTGGTATATCCGATGATGACCTGGCTGATTCACCCCGAAAAAACGAACATCGAAGTGCTAGCCCGGCAAAGCGTCGTCGGGGTCGAGCCCTGGAGCGAGATCAGGCCAGGGAGGACAAGGATCCTGACGGGGACGGACAGATCCAGGTGGGTGTATCGACGCTGCAGATGATGTTAGCCCAACAAAGTGCCAATCTACTTGAAGCACAAAGTGCAAATTTGACTCGGGCCTTGGGAGAGTTGGAGGCCAAGCAGAACAAGCGAATTGAAGGATTGGAAACCAAAATCGACCAAGGTGTGGCTCAGACTCAGACACTGCAGGGTGAACTCCGTCAGGCCCTGGAGAGAATCAAAGCCTTGGAAGACAGGCCTGGTGGGCTTGGCAAGGGGGATGGATCATCAGGGAGGCGGACTTCCCTCGTCTTCGGTGGGTGGTGCGATGGCACGCGCAAGCACGTGATCCTGCACCAGCTCCAGGAGTCCTTGAAGTACCTCGCGGTGGACCATCTTCTGGACTCGGATCCTTTCTGCACGGGCCCACGTCGAGCAGTGGCTCTCTCTAACTTTGTTGTCCGAGGCGGGGAGAACCAGGGAGACCTTCGCAAACGCATGCTGGACATCGTGCAGGAGGTCAACCGAGCTAAGTTGACTTTGCAGGGGGGGAAGCGCCCGCTCTGGGCATCGATCTCCAAAACTCCTGAGGAGCGTGGCAGAGCGGCCTTGGCTGGGGTCACCAAGAAGTTGGTTATGAACCACCGCCCAGGCCTTGTGTCAGAGTTGGACCTCGACTATGCTCAAGGAGCTGCGTGGATTGGGGAGTACCCGGTTGCAGGTATGGGGGTCCCCCCAGAGGGGACCAAAGCCACGGAGATTGAGACTCGAGGGGGGCAAGCCTGGTTGGATGAGGGTACCATTGCGAAGCAATTGAAGCTCAGCCTTCAGACCGTTGAGGACGAGGTCAAAGGACACCGCTTCTGACCTCATGCGAATTCTTCTGATCTCTCACTTTCGGTTCTAGGATGGAATGTGGGCGGCGGGGATCTTGATGATTTACCCAGGGTGGTTGCTGAAGCGACCCATTGCGATCTCCAAATGGATGATTTGGTGTTGCTCCAGGAATTGCCTCGCGAGCCGGTGGGTTGGAAGTCCAAGGATTTCGGACCGTGGAAAATGATTGCTCACAGGGATGCTTCTCAGTGGCGAGGGAATGGGATTGTGTATCACTCTGACGCTTGGAAGGTTCTCAGGAAGATCAAGACGGAGAAAGGAGTCTGGATTAGACTCCAGCACTGCCGAAAAGGCAGCCAGCTTTGGGCAGGGTCGATCTATCTTAAGCCAGAGCTAACACAGGATCAACATGCCGTTGCTCTTCAGGACTTCCTCCGAGCATTGCCAGCGACACAGCTTCCAGTGGTTCTGTCAGGAGACTCTAACTCGGCTATCGCGTGGTCTGAAGATCAAGAAGGCTCGCACACGGCTGTTGGCAAGAATGGCAAGACCCTTGGTTTGCTTCATTCGCTTGCTTCTCGGAGTCTTCAGGTTGTTGCACCGGTGGAGCCACAGCTAGAATGTCCCACAACCTGCCCCAGGCAGGCAGACAGGGCAGGCCGTCAGATTGATTTTCTTGCCGTGACCCGATGTCTCAGCAGTCGTGTCTCCATCCTCACCGGATCCCATGATGTACTTGGTACAGACCATGACATGCTGGTGGTCTTGGTAACGATGAAAGGGGGGCGTGTCCCACGGAAGACTGATACGAGACCTCGAGTTCTTACACGAAGTTTACCGAAAATCGAGAAGCTAGACCAGACAGTGATCTCCAATCTGGCTCAGAGTCACACGGCACCGAAGACTGGCACAAGCTACTCTGATCCGGAGGACGTCAAGGCCCTTTTCAGAATCGCTCGGTTTGGTAGGAATAGGGATGAGTGGAAAGCAGCATTCCAGGCCAGGAGAAAAGCACGGGGGGCGTGGCAACAGGAGCAGCTTCGGAAAGCGGCGGCAGGAGACTGGGGTGCCTTCCGACGGGTCCGAAAGAAACCGAAGGGTGAATGGGAGCACGTCTTTGCGGATGCCAACTCCGACCCCCACCGGTGTATCCATGATCACCTTCAAAACATTTATCGGTCTGATGAGTGCGTGGAAGTGTGTGAGCCGGTGCTCCCCTTCCAGCCGGTCCAGCTTGAGGAACTCCAAACCGCTGTTAGGCTTGGTAAACGTGGGGTCAGTGTGTGCCACGATGGCACCTCGCAAGAGCTCATTCAGGGGATTATGGTGGCTGAGGGTGGAGCGGAGGCGCTCCGCCAGTGGTTCTCGGAGATTTTGCGTACGGGCAACCTCCCGGAGGATTGGTATCGATCCCTGATGGTTGTGCTCCCCAAAACGTCTCACCCGGTGTTGCCGAAGGAACTTCGTCCGATCTCTATGTCCTCGGCCTTGAGTAAGACTTTCTGCAGGATTGTGTTGCAAAGAAGCAAGAAATCGGTCAAGGCTCAGGGATCGTGTCAGTGCTCAGGGCCACAAAAGCAGACCACGGACTACATCTACTGTGTGCATCATCTCATGGCGTTGGAGAGAGAGTGGAAAGGGGGGCTTGCCTTCCTAAAGGTCGATTTGGAGAAAGCCTTTGATCTGGTAAGTCGTCCCGCCCTGTCTGCCTTCCTCCGCGAGAGACTTGGTGATAGTTATGAGCTTCGCATTTGGCAACAGCTCTTGGCGTCGAGCACGGCTTCACTCGAGACTCCCTGGGGAGTGTCGGAACTCTCTGTACAGCGCGGTATCCGGCAGGGGTCGGGCTTGAATCGCCCCTCTTCTTCGCCTGCTTAGCAGAGATGACCGTGGAAAAAACAGCAGAAAGATTCCACTGGACGAGAGAAGACCCCGCACTTCCTGGTTTACATCTCAGCGAAGCCTTGTTTGTGGATGACTCGATCTTGTGGAACTCCTCGGTGTCTGACCTGGGGCTGAGAACGGAACAGTGGGCACAAACCTTGGCTGAGTGTGGTCTTCGGATTAACATCGAGAAGTGTGCCCTTTATGTTAGCCCGTTTCATCGTGGGGGGCGAAGCATCACGGTGCAAGGGGTGACCCTCGAATCCGGGGAACACCTTAATGTCATGGGGCTACAGCTCAGTGTGACGGGCACCACGTGTCGAATGCTGGCAGGGCTGCTTGCGAGAGCTAGAGACACCTTCTGGAGCATGAAAAATCTTCTCTTGTCGGATGCACCGATACATGCCCGGATTCGACTCATGCACAAGGTGGTGGGCGGGTGTGGACTTTGGTGTATCTCCGCCTTCTTTCCAGAACAATCGGCGCAGCACCTTGTGAACACTTTCCAGATGCAGTTGATCATTAGCATGCTGAAGATTAAACGGCGACCAGAAGAAGGGTGGTTACAGTTTCGGAAACGGTCCTATAGGACAGCGCGGGCGGTTTTGTGGCAGGGGCAACATCGCAGGTGGAGCAGTGTATGGTGTGAGAGACACTGGTTGTACTTGGGCCATCTCGCCCGGTCTTTGCTTCATGACCCGCCCCCCGCTGCTGGACTGGTCTGTGCCTACCGCAATCGGGAATGGTGGTTGTCAGAGCAGGCAAAGAGAGACACAGAGGGGGTTCGACATGCTGGCAAATTCTTCCCTCGTCTCATGCTCGCCGAGACCCATCTGGATACAGTCGCAGGTGGACCCTGGCGATTTTATGCTCAAGATCGAGCGAAGTGGGCAGGCCTTGTGTCTGCATGGGTAAGGTTTGCAGATGTACCTTGGAGTTCAGGGAGGCAGCTTGCCTTGGCAGACGACTGATAGGCAATCCAGCTGAGCTTGTGTGCACTGACTGAGTGAAGCGTGACAGCTGAGTTTTCGATGCACATGTTCCAGCGAGGACTAGTTTGATAATATTTCGGCCCTGTTTCCGACAACTCCCTCACCGAATCTCGGTGACAGACTTTCATGTTGTGCCTCGGCCCTATGTGCCGACATGGCCTGGCCACCGTGATGGTCGCCTTGGCCCTCTACGGCATTCTCGCCCATCCTCCTGAAGGACATGGGCACGATCAGCCGCTTTCTCATGGTGATGTACAGAATACTCGAAATGACACCAGTTTTGGGAACTTGGAAAAGCAGGACAATGACCGCAAACAGGATGGCCACTTGACCGCCCCTCTCTGTGAACTACCGGAACACTTGGATGAACCAGGGGGCTCGGCAGCTACAGGCTCGGTGGACCAGGGGTCTGGCGAACGGCCGAGTGCGGAAGGTCTCCCCACCAGCTCCGAAGCAGATGATCCAACGGGAATGCCGACTTCGGGACCTTTGCCATCCTGCCCCTGCTCCTCTTCGGCAAGCTCAAGCACGGCCATCCACTACCAGATCGAGGAGACCCCTGCCATCACTGCAGCCAGGCTACAGCGAGCCAAACGTAAGCGCATCCTCATGCGCACACTCGTGACGGACGAGACGGACTACTTCGTGCGGGAGGTGGATGACAAGCTGGACCGAATAGGGCAGGAGCACGGAAGTGATGGGGTAATAGCCGTGAGCATGGAACTGAGGAGGGAAATCGGGCTATTCTTGCAGTATGATCCCTACCCTCGTGAAACAGGGTGGTACACACCCAAGAGGCTTGACAGCACTGCTACTGTGGAGGCCAAGGGCAACGGTTGCGGTCCAGATCTGGGTCAGAAACAATGGTACAGGCATTCATGGAATCGTCATGGATGGAAAGAAGGATGGGGGCGCAGATGGTATGGTGGCCACAGTGGTTTTGGCAGTTGGGTAAACAGGTGCAAGCACATGCAAGTGCCTTGCTCTGAAGAGGGGTGGCGGCATCAATGGCGGTCGAGAGAGCATCCGGCTGCAATGATGCATGTTTGGATTCAGGGTTTGGAGCCCTGGTGCCGCCGAGGGCGTGCATTTGTGCAGGATGTCTCCGTGTACCAAGAAGGACCGTTGTTACGACTGAGTTTGGCTTGAGCTTGATGGGATGCAGGGGTTGTCTAACACAGGTGACCTGGATGCAGTTTTGGAGCACAGTGAGCGGGATGTGACTTTGCCTATCACGGTTGAAAGAACTGACTGAGCTTTGAGTGAGTGCAAAGCTGAAGGCTTTGTTGCTCTGATGTTTTGTGTTCTAGGTTCTAAAGTTTGCGGTGTTGAGAATCTTCCACCGCTGCATGGCTGGTCTGCGATGGCCGGGGTCGACTTTTATCGTGTTTTCCTTCCTGGAAGTGGAGGTACACGAGGGAGCCGATTTAGCTCGCCTCAAGTAGGCTTCCGTAGGTACCCCGTGTGCAGACGGAAAAGAGCCCTCAAAAAAAAAAACCCTAAACCCTTAAACCCTAAACCGTTCCTTTGGGTATCAGGAGCAGCTCCTTCAAAAAGCGGCCAGACGAGCACCCCGGTGGAGGTTTTAGAAGTGTTTCCGGCGAGATAGGGCTTGAATGACATGGGTGGTTTCTGGCGGATTCTCGGAGCCGTGTTAATTGTTTTTGTCGTGAGGTCTCGGGGGTATATAAGGAGGAGAGGGGGTTTCACCGACTATGTGATTGATTCGCAAGTGGAGCCGTGGTTTTGCAGGTACAAGTGAACCTCAAGACTTGGGGGCTTTCTCGCAGGCTGTGTACTGTGCATGCAGAAAGGATCGTCGGCACGAAACCTTTGGTTGCACCTGCCGGGCAAGCTCCATCCAAACAATTCCACAAGCCTTTCGAGCTCACACCTGCGTGAAGGAATCGAAGAACCCCACATTTCCTGAGCTCATAACATCCTCTTTGTCTCGTCCCAGGAGCTCTCATTTCTGAAGAGCTTGGGGATCATGCCTCCGCCCCCGAGAAATCGCATCCGGAGGACTGGACGGCCCATCCCTCATGACCTCGTTAAAGTGACGCGAGAGTAATGAAAACCTCGAGTGAACACTTCCCAATTGGCCCTAGTATTGCCAGCTTGCAAGCAACGAGAATTTGCAAGGTTGGCATGCTTCTTGCTCTTCTGCTCAGCTTTTTACATTGTAACATATACTGTTGTATGCGACAGTATCCCCAAACCCCAAACCATAAACCCCAAGAGTATGTATATACTACTCCACTCTATGTTCAGTCTTCGTCATCGTGGTGCTGCTGGTCACATAAAGTTACAGTACAGCATACAGAATAAACGTCACGTATGATCCGTGCCCGCGAGGAGCGGAAAAGATGGCGAGGTCCGTCTGGATATTGTTGTAGGTACTCTGTGTGCTGTTTGTTTTTGGGGCTTTGGGCTTCCGTTTGGGGTTTGAAGTCGAACCTCCATTTCATCACCGCGACAGCAAGCTGTGATGGGATAGTGTGATGCGCCAGTTGTGCTGGAAATCTGATGGATCATTCACGGCTCAACATGACCGTGAGCGCATAACTTCAGTCTGCGGTTGGTCGTGCGACATGAGTCCTCGTCGTTTCTTCGAGGCCCTTGCACCAAGCTCTGGGCGTGTTTCGTAGTTAGGAATAGGGGTGGCTGTGAAAATTATGGTCCCTTTTTGGGTCCCGAGAAAAAACGGCACTTAATATTCACGGTACGCAAAAGCGGACCTTTATTTTGATAACCATCCATAGAGGTACACCTGAAATAGGGATGCACCTTTCTACACCGAAAGCCGAGCCCTGAGCTTGCCAGGCTTACGCGACAGAGGATGCAAACTACCTGGTGCAGCTACCCAAGGCCGGGCAAGACTCGGGAACTATCCTATGCTTTGGGGACTGTTGGGACCATGATCGTACTCTGCTCCTTGCTGCTCCGTACCTTGCGGCTTGAGGCTGCGTAGACTTGAGCCCCAAGAAACTACAACAGCAAGCCTCCCCGAGGCAAGCAGGACAGCCGTGTGTTGATGAAGACCTCAGCAACCGTTGTCTGAAATAACATGTGGCCTTGAAATCTTTAGCTTCAGCTTCGCATACCAAGCCGCCCATGATCCATGTACAGTGTCCATGGCAGGATGCATCTTCTGGTGACAGCAGGTCGGCAGGGCTTTATTTTGCCTCCTGACGTTGTCGCGGCATGATTATTATTGCATGCATGCAGAATCGACGGATGCACATGTGTGTGGGACGTTGTATGTAAAGATGATTATCAGAATCCAACAACAGATACGTGTACTTGCGCATGCGTGGGTATGTGTGTATATATATATATACACAAGTGAGTGTATATATATATATATGTATATTTAACATACTTATTAATTATTTGCTTATACGTATTGAGGTGAATGTGTATGCATGTGTCTTTGTTTGTAGTTGACGATCAGCAGAAGGTGGAGGGATGTGTGTGCAAATACAAACCGCGATAGACACTGGGTGCGTGCGCATGCACAGACTCCCGAAGTTTTGGCTCAATATCGGGTGCTGGCAGCGGAATCCTGGAGGCACCTCAACTCCGACCTATCATCACTCTTCTTATTCCTTGTGCGAGTGTGAGCGTCGAAACTCGAAGCCCTCAGCCTGCCCCTTTACGCCCAGCGGGAATCCGCTTTTTCGATTCTGCGAGACCGAAAAAGGGACGTTCAAAACAAAAAGACCCTAAACTCTCGGCTGTTGCATTCTGTGAGAGATGTGCCTTCAGTCGTATCCGATAGGGAGCGGTTCCGGAAGAGGTAATCTAGGGGCCTTAACACTTAGAATAGGGTTTTGGGACTTTGGGGTTTTGGGGGCTCCTTATAGGTATAGTATAGTATAGTATACCCCCCAAACCCTATTCTAATTTTTCATACATTAGCAGATACCAAGACCTCGACACAAGCCCAGAGGACTTCTTTTTTCTTTTGCCAGGCGGCCAAAATTCAAGTGTAGCTTTGCACCCCAGGATTTCCTGGCCAACTCCCAGGTCGCGGCATCCGAGCTCATCATGGGCTCCGAGGTCGCATTTACACTTAGGTGGAATGTTTGCCCCAACTTTGGTGGTCGTTACACTGGCACGAATGTGGAGGGCCAGCAAGATACGGATTCCAGTCGTCGAGTATCTACATGCACGCAGCACGCTTCCTGCAATGTTGAGGTTCCGACGTCGTGGGTGGTGCGAAGACTATCGGCTTTTTGGGCAGCGTTGCTGTCCTGGTAAACAATTTGCTGGGACCTGGCATCGCGAGCCTCGTTAGCTTGAGGAATCTGGGGCAGTGGCTTGCCATGAGCATGAAACATGTATCGTAAAACAGAACTATGCCATATGGTAGGAAAGTGCATCTTCACGGTATACTAATGCGCATACATACATACATGCAGACTTACATGTATGTTTAAACACATAATACCGGCAGAGACAGACAGACCGACAGACAGACAGACCGACACAGACAGAGAGACAGACAGACACAGATACATACTCACAGCAATTTCTCACATGCCTCACATGCACCACGAGGCTGCATACGTTTGTTACATCACTCGCTATACATACATTTTGAGTGTTACGACAGGTGCACCCCTGTAGTACATACGTACGTACGTACGTACATGCATACGCATGTATATATATATATATATGTACATTCATAAGTGCGTAAGTACGGGAAGTAAATACTGTCATGCGTACACACACATATACATACTCACATACACATTCGTATACATATGCACATGTTTCCGTGATCATGAGCATACATTCGCATGTACATGTTCATATGCATATATAGCTCATATACAGAACAGTGAATACGTACATTACATTACATCGCGTTGCGTTGTATTGCGCTGCAATACATTCCGCTGCAATACATTCCATGACATCGCTTTGCATAACATAATTTATGTAGATTACGTTACATCACACACCAATACATATACATACATACATACATACATACATGTATTCACATGTACGATCGCACGTACAAAGATGCATACAGATGTCTCATGGCTGTATAGTTGGCCATCCAACAGAGCCCCGAAGCAAAAAACATGTAGACTTACATACATGCTCATGCTTGCGCTAACGCGCACGTACACACTTTACTTTGCTGCAAGTATGGCTTCGGGCTCACAATGAGCCCCGAAGGCTGAGTTTGCGGGCATCAGGTGGTGGGATATGGGAGTTTCCGAAAATAAGGGACCCTAGTATAATACCCTAAACTGGCCGGTGGTTTCGGGCATTTTTTATTTTTTGGGGTTTGGTGGGGTTCATGGTCACTCATATCTGTAGTGCATGCAGAAGAACAACAACAGCAGCCCTGAGGTTCCAGGGGTCAGACCAGCTTCAATTCCAACCAGGTGTTTCCAGTGGAAACACCTGGTTCGAATTGAAGCCGGTCGGGGGATGCACGGACATCCCTCACCCTTACAAGATGCCTGTGGTCCCACCACTGACATCTTGCAGGGGTGAAGGATGTGCGTGCATGAACCCCGACCGAGGCCCCAGCGTAGGTAGATCTCACATGTGACAAATCCAGGTCGGTCAAGACGTTACTGGTATATCAATCATATAATTTCGTCATATGGCAGGACAACAAACAGTCATGGTAGGTCAAACCAGACACCCTAAACTCACAGCCCTGATGCTTGGTAGGTCAGACCATCATAAGCCCCAAACTATACCGAGCGCCGCCCTTCGTTTGTCTTCAACGTCGCCGCACATGGTCGGACACCCAGCCAGGTTTTAATAAGTAGTGTACGTTTGTCATTGGGTGTCTGTGTTAATTAGTGGCCAGATGGCCAGATTTAGATAATAATAATAAACATATTCGGGCTTCAGATTAGAGGCTAGGTTAATTAGTAGTCTGGGGATGGCTTATTTGATTTGGGGTCCAGTAGACTAGGGCTGCTGGGGTTGTGTTGTGTTGTCGGACATAGGACTTTAGCGGTTTAGGTTCGAGTTTTGGGATGGTTTGGAGGTTTAGGTCTAGTGTATTTGGGCTTTGGGTTGCTTGTAGGTCATAGACAGGAGGGCTTTGGAGGTGGAAGTTCAGGATTTTGGGATGGCTTCGGGGCTTAGGGTTTTAGGGCTGTTGTTGAGAGTTTGAGGTCCAGAGATTTGGGATGATTTTGGGGTTTACTCCATTGTTTCGGGTGGGTCTAGGGGTTTTGGCGTTTTGGGTTGTTTCAGCTTTCGGATGTAGGTTGGCTTGGGTCAGGGCGAGGGCTTGGTAGGACTTTTGGGTTTTTTCAGACTTCGGCCCTTAATCCCTAACCCCGGTGGTAGTAGTTGATTTGAATTGGTAGTTTGTTGTTACTGTTGTAGTGTTGGGAATCTTGGGCAGTAGGTAGGTCCCCGCCCCGCAAAACCCCCTGGAGTGGTCGGATGCAGTCGAGGCGCGGGCCGGTCTCACAGGGGAGACCGGCGGCCCGAGGTCTGAGCAAGACCCGGGTCAGACGGCTTGTTCGTGAACAAGCCCGAGGCCTGATCCGGTCTGAGCAAGACCGGCCCCGGCCCATGGTCTGTGCAAGACCATGGGCCTCCCGTAGCTAACTGTAAGGCGGCTGAGACCTTTTAATTAATCTAAGTGGTAGGATTCGGGTCAGTCTAGGTTGTAGGCTTAGGTGGTAGGTTCTCAGGTTCCCAGCTGAAGATAGCACTCAAACCAACTAGGAAACGTACCCCAACCCCCGAAACAAAGCAAAATAATGATTGAACTCACACACCCGCCTCCAAAGTCCACCATCGTCCACGCGTCACACCCCGCATTCACCCCCAAACTCTGAAGCTAAGCCCACCCCAAACCCCGTACCCAAACCCCCACAACCGAGGACCTAACCCACCGAAGCCCCAAACCGTCCACCACCCAACCTAAAACTTCAAGTGGTATAAATCTCAAACACCCAACACAATGCCGCTTATTATTGTTCCCCCAAACCGACAAGTGCATCTACAATAACAATGCTACGTCCTACATCTCAGACACCCCAAGGCTATGTCTTAACTATTAATCCTCAGTCTCAGACACCGAACGATGCTGGGGTCTGAATCGAATCTCAGACACCCAAAACCCACCCATCCCCCGAATGAACGCAGAATAGTAATGCTTCCTTAATAATAATGAAAAATATGAAACTAAACTGACTAAAGAAAACAACAGCAGCAACAACAACCACAGAACAACAATCTTTATAATGACCTGCCTGGACTGGGATTAATCTCAGGCATGCATACATACATTCGCATCCTCCCGATGCTACGTCTTAAATCTCAGGCACCCAAACCAAATTCCTGTAAGTGATGTTATGTCATACTTTCTGAGTAGAGTTTGAGACAGACGCCCAAACCACCAAAACGATCCTCCAAATGTATTTTTCGCGAATAATAAGAAATACGTAAAACATCTCAGATACCCTCTCAAACCGATCCTCCAAGTGCCACGTGCACCTTAGCCTTTTTTGACGATTCTTTACCCCACCCTTTACATCCATCCCACGGATGAACACCGAAACCAAAAACTGTTCTGCTAAGCAAAACACAACCAGGACCATTCACCAGCAAGGTCAGAAATCCTACAGCCCGAGCCCTATCATCGAGTAAAGCCACCAAGCCCGTCCTCAGAACGGTGGTAGGAGGGTGATTGTAGATAATCGGCGGTAAATTTTTAATAATAGCTAGGCTAGGTGGGCTCTTAGGGTTTAGGTTAACGGTAGGTCTCAGTCGCCCCTAGTTCCTGTAACTAGTAGTCTGGTCTGAGCAAGACCAGTTTCGGCCTAATCCGGTTTTTCAGGGATTTTGAGATTTAGGGGCAGGGCAGGTAGGTCGGTTTTGATTTGTTCCCCAGGTCGGTCCCCAGGCAGGATTCAGGGTTTCACCTGGTCTGAGAAAGACCTGGTAGGACTGGTCTGTGTAAGACCGGATAAAAAAACTGGCAAGGCCAGACAATGCTACCTAGAAATCCTTTTTTTCTCCTCATGGTTGAGCTTGATGGCCGGACGTCATAGCGCTCGGGTGCCCGTCTCAGTAGAGGAAGAATGCCCGGTATGGCCCCTACAGGGGTGGGACCATCTTCTGATGTCCCGGCAGGATTCCCCTGGGTCGTTATATCTCGATGCCAAAATGACTATGGTCGGACGGCGACGCCTGGGGTGAGAAATGGATTTCTAAGGTCAGCCTGTTTTCCCTTAGGTTGGTCCGTGCAGGACCAAACAGTAGGATTGACTAGGTAGGACTGAGACATGTCTTCTGGTCTGACAGGTGGCGCCTTGGCAAGAATAACTTAACACTGCGACGAAACCCTAAACCAACCCTCTCAGAGTTGTGAAAGCCCAGGTCAGATCATGGCTGGCTGCTGGTCGGTGTCTTCTTATTTTGGGCCGAGGCACGGCTCAGGCAGATTAGCATTTAAAATATTTGATGAAATTAATTTGATGTAAGTAGTAGTACTAACTACAAATTATTACCACTGACTGGCATTCATTCCCAGGTTCTTCACTTCAGTGGTCGGTCCCTTTCTTCTTCGAGTGGCCGAGAGGTGCGCCATTGTTGCGATATTATGTCTAAGTTGGTTCATGTTGGCATCGTGCCTCGTGCCAGGTTCCTTGGCCATCTGGTCAAACGCGGTCATCTGAAGGACCTCACCAGTTTCATCGAGTTCGTCTTACTTTGTCTTCGCGTGCATTCTCATGTCACACACAACATAACCTGCCTGGCCAGGCTCCACCATGGCCCTCTTCGACAGTGGTGGTCTGAGGCTTGTCCTTAGCAATGAACCTTACGTTCCGAATGACTGACGTTCATGTTGGGTTTGCGCCCCATTCGTGCCAGGTTCATCATTGGCGAATTGGTCGCATGTGGCGATCTGGGGCAGGACAGGAGCTGCTAGCCGACTCCGAAATGTACGTCACGTGCTAAAGCTAAACCCTAAACCTGGCCAGGTCAGACGCCCGTGGACGCCACGATGGCCTTCTTCTGTGGCCTCAATGATGGGGTGCCTTCAATGGGATTCCCACTGAGGGCACTCCATCATGGGGGCCATACGGTGGTCTGAGGACTGAACACTTGAACGCTTCATTCATTCATTCGTGTCGTTGGGTTTGGGCCTCGGGTCAGGTTCCTTGGCGATCTGGTCGGACAGGTGATGTGAAGGACAGAACTCGGTGGCTTCTTGTTTTTGCTGCTGTGCATCGCAACATTGCCTGGCAAGGTCAGTGGCCGAGAGGTGCGCCATTGTTGCGA